GCAGAACAGGAGAAAGACCAGGATTTGAAGCCAATAATTGATTTCCTACAAGTAAGTGTTTTTCGCCCTGCTTGGGAGAAGGTGTCTAGCTTAAGCTATATGATAAAGAACTATTGAGCACAATGGTACCAGTTGAAGCTTGAAGATGGTATTCTAGTCCGGAGATGGGAAAGTGACGACCTGGTCAACAGTTATACCGAGAAAGTTACGGTAAGATATGCTGCGTCAATCACATGATAGTTTAACAGGAGGACATCTTGGAGTTAAGAAGACATTTAGTCACCTACGGCAGAGATTTTACTGGAAAGGTATGAGGCAAGATGTTGAAGAATGGTGCAGGACCTGCAGTACATATTGTGCTAAAAGGGGACCTAAGCATAAGGGACGTGCTCCAATGAAGTTATATCAAGTTGGTGCACTAATAGAAAGAGTAGCCATTGATACTGCTGGTCTTTTGCCCTGAACTCGTGCTGGAAACAAGTACATTTTTGTGGTGATGGATTATTTCACCAAGTGGCCTGAGGCATATGCAATACCAAATCAGGAAGCTACCACTGTAGCTTCGGCTTATTAGTGATTTCTTCTTCAGGTTTGGTATGCCATACAAACTGCATTCAGATCAAGGCCATAACTTTGAATCAGCTGTGTTTCAATAATGCTGCAAGTTGTTTGGCATACGAAAGACCAGGACAACGCCACTTCACCCACAGTCTGATGGGATGGTAGAAAAGTGCAATTGGACATTGGGACAGGAATTGTCAGTTTTGTAATAGCCACCAAGATGACTGGGATGTCTTATTCCCTCCACTGTTGATGGCGTATAGAACAGCAGAGCATGAAGCCACTGGATACACACTGGCAAAGCTGATGTTTGGTCGGGAACTTTGGTTGCCAGTGGATCTGATAACAGGACGCTAACCTTATGAAGAGTTGCCTGAAAATCTGCCAGAGTTTGTGAAAGTGTTATCTGAAAGGATAGATGATATTCACCATCAAGTGCGTTCAAACTTGAAAATGTCTGCTGATTCCATGAAGCTATGTTATGATAAAAGATTTACTGAAGTCAGCTTTGTACCAGGAGACAAGGTGTGGTTGTATAGTCCCAGTAAGACCAAAGGGAAGTCTCTTAAGTTGTCTTCTCCATGGGAAGGCCCATATGACATAGTAGATCGTCGCTCAGATGTGACTTCCGAAATAAAATGTGGTCGGCGAGGTAAGCCAAAGGTGGTGCATGCCAACAGGCTTTGGAGTTATCATGGTCCAGGTCATTTCAGTTGGAACTAAGTGAACAACGTGTCACCTGAAAAAAAGCCACTGTTGAAGAAGAAACTCTACCCGGTTTGGAGAAAGAAAACAGTGATGTCGTTATTGAAGTTACTACCACTGATGTGACTGCTACCGATAATGGGACATTTCCTGATGGAGCAGATGAACCCCACGTGAAGCAGAAGACAATGAGACAAAGACAATACGGAAGAAGATACGTCCTGTAAAATTATGAGACTTTGTTGAATTTTAATTTTGTGTTTGTAAACTATGTACATTTAATTAAGTTATTGTTAATTATCTATTGGTTTAATGTAAGTGGCTATTGTTCGGGACAAACAATACTAAGGAAGGGGCAGTATTACAATGGGAGCATGCGCGCTGGAGTTTCTAGAATTATCGGGGAACCCCGCGAATGTCCGAGTGTTTACCAGGCGCCCTCTTTTTTAGTATATAAGCCCGGCAAATAAAGCCAGCGATAGATAGATTGAAGATATAGATAATTGAGTAAGCGAACAGTAGGCACCGTAAGTAAAGTGTGTGAATCACTGTGATTTATAGCATGTGTTATAAAAGAAGTTAAGTTTAACGTACTGATTGGAAATTCTGTGTATTACAAAGTAGTATGGAGGGAAAAATAAACTGGTTTAATTAAGAAAGGACTTGTATCACTGAAGTTCCTCTGAAAGAATTTATACCAGAAATTAACAAACAAGCAGAGACGTAACAATATGTTATGTTACAGTATTTTGGCCAAACACAGCTACACGAAACTAACTTTTATTTTTGTCTCATTCTTTCTGGCTATCTCTTTCATAAGTTACGATAATCTTTCATGATTGAAAGTCGTCGAAAGATGGTAGGTTATATGCAAGTGTTTTTATTTCAAGTTACAAAGTTTTATATATTTCAGATCAATTGAAACAACAACAAAATCCTCTTAATAAAGTACAGAAGGTGGGAACACAAAAATATATACACAAGGCTTTATCGTCAGTTACAAGACCCCTTTCTTTATTAGGTGATCTCTACTGATAAGGCTTTATTGTCAATTACAAGACCCCTTTCTTTATTAGGTGAGCTCTATTGATAAGGTTGTATCGTCAGTTACAAGACCCCTTTCTTTATTAGGTGAGCTCTACAGGTAAGGCTTTATTGTCAATTACAAGACCCCTTTCTTTATTAGGTGAGCTCTATTGATAAGGTTGTATCGTCAGTTACAAAACCCCTTTCTTTATTAGGTGAGCTCTACAGGTAAGGCTTTATTGTCAGTTACAAGATCCCTTTCTTTATTAGGTTAGCTCTACTGATAAGGTTTTATTGTCAGTTACAAGACCCCTTTCTTTATTAGGTTAGCTCTACAGATAAGGTTTTATTGTCAGTTACAAGACCACTTTCTTTATTAGGTTAGCTCTACTGATAAGGTTTTATTGTCAGTTACAAGACCCCTTTCTTTATTAGGTTAGCTCTACTGATAAGGTTTTATTGTCAGTTACAAGACCCCTTTCTTTATTAGGTTAGCTCTACAGATAAGGTTTTATTGTCAGTTACAAGACCACTTTCTTTATTAGGTTAGCTCTACTGATAAGGTTTATTGTCAGTTACAAGACCCCCTTTCTTTATTAGGTGAGCTCTACTGATAAGGTTTTATCGTCAGTTACAAGACCCCTTTCTTTATTAGGTTAGCTCAACGGATAAGGTTTTATTGTCAGTTACAAGACCCCCCTTTCTTTATTAGGTGAGCTCTACTGATAA